AGAGCCAGATCTCCCAGCACGATGACCCAGCTGAGGAACGTCGACCAGGAGAACAGGAGATGGACGACGAACATGACAGTGAAGACAAGGCTAGACTGCCACGCATGAAATCTGGCGCCATGACATTAGCTCTGAACCTTAAGGCGCTTAAATTTGAAACTCCTCGTTGGAATGTAAAACCTTAGAAGCAAGGTCGACACGACGCAAGCCTCCTAGTCTAAGGAGAGTGGCACTTTCGAACCACACTCACCTGACATAATCACTCTTCCTCTCCAGGATCAGCAGTATGATAGCGCCGAGCGGCGGTATCCCGATATACGCAAGCACAGCCTCGTAGTCGAGCCGGATGCCCAGACTCGTATCGAACTCGCTGACGAACCCTCCACCGCCTCCACCCAATCCTATCCCGCCCCCAGCCCCGGCCCCGGCCCCGCCTAAGCCGTCCTCAGAAGCATATCCCGCGTGCCACGAGCGCTGCGGCTGCGGGTGTTGTAGTGGCGGGGGAGAAGAGGCGGCGAAGTTGCGCTGCGACGGGCTGAAGGACTGCCGACGATCGAGCGACGCGCGCGGCGACACGGTGCCCTCGGCCACGGGCGGGGAGAACGGCCGGCTGTGCTCGGGTGGCGAGCTCTGGTATGGCGCGAAATCCATCGCGGAACTCTCGTTTGCGTTGCGCTGCGTGGCGCTGCGTTGCTCCTTGCGGGCGGGTCTCGCGACCGCTGTCCTGTCTGGGCGGGTGGATGAGGGGCTCGGCTTTGGCTTTGGACCTGATGCGGGTTTCGCTCTCTGCTCGTCGGATCCGGAGGACGGGAGTGATCGTAGCAAGGCGGGATCACGAGTATGAATGGCTTGCTGCACGTGGATAGGGGAATGACGTTGAAAGCGGTCGGTCGTGGGCTCTCAGCTCCGAGATCACGGATGCGACGTGCATGAACGCAGCAGGCTGGGCTTTGGCTTGGCGCAAAGGTGGCCGTGTTAGTGATCTGCAGGGTCCAGTTTAGCGCATCCTTGCAGCGCACTTCCAATAGTGATGGTCGCTGCTGCAGCCGCATTGTTTTATACCCATGAATTTATGCAGAGGCCCCTCGGCCGAATTCTTACCTACCTGGGTATTTATCAACGTTTCCAGCTACGTGACATCATGGATTATACCTAGACAATAGGTATCTTAAGGCTACGTACTGAAAAAAGGCATAACTTAGTAGCTGACGGCGGGATTGCTGGGAAGGGAAGGACTAATGTCATTTCCATACCAGGCTGACTTTTACTTAAGTTTCTAGGCATTGCTTAGGTGATACGCCATGATACCTTCCGTAGATTCATATGCATTGTTTGTTCTAGGTATACTGTTTTACATCGCTTTATAGCACATATAGATGAAGTACACACCTTTTAGGCACTGGTCTCGTTCTCGACCTCGCCCTCCTTCTTGCCCCCGCCAGATTCTTCTTCCAGCTGCGTCCGTCTACTCTCGAGAGCCAACCATAAGCCCTTACCATGGCCCTCCAAAGCTGTCGTAAGACCAAGGCCAGCATGCTGTAACAGGGAAACGAGCTGTGCCCGCAGTCCATCGAGACCGCCCTGGATGCCACCAACCCATTTGACTCCGTCAAGGTCGAATACCTTATCCTCTATTCTGCCTCCGATGAGGATGAGTTTCTGGAATCCGCTCTGGGCAATGGGGTCGTAGTACCCTGGGTTCTTCTTCCGCGTGGGAGCAGGGAACGCGGGGGGTGATGGTGAGAGGACCTTAAGTACGGCTGCCAAGTGCGCCGGTGAAACCGAGGGGAAGGTTACGGCGGCAATGGGCCCTGTGATCAAGGGGCTGATCTGGCCATAGGTAGACGACTCGTCAACTGTCGCATCCTTGATCGACTCGTAGGCTGTCTTGGACAGATCGTGTGTGTACGCGTTCGACCTGTCGACCTGGTCCTCGGGCTTGAAGTAGTCGACGATTTTACACGCGATGTTGAACATGCGTGTGCGCAACACCTGGAACTCAATGCTGGATGTGATGTCGACGGGGACGGTGCCGTCAGGCCCAGCAACGGGCGGCGGAACCTCTGCCAGGGCGGCACGCAGCTCCCGCCGCACGGCGGCCCATTCCACGGCAGTGAGATTGTTGTGTTGGAAGAGGAGCATCAAAGGCATCGATCGCAGCATGGCCGTGTACGAGCGAAGAAGCTGGGCCTTTCTCTGCTCGGGCCGCCGTGCACTCGGGGGCTGAGTCGGAGGGATATAGTTGTCGGGTAGCCTCAGAGCGCCGAGAGGCACTGGCGAGCCTGCTGTCGCATAGTGCCTTGAAGCAGCCCTCGTCGCGTTGTGAACTGTGAGGGCTAGCACCCTAGCCGCGCTTGTCGTCGTTCGCTGCAAGGCTCGCCCTACGCTGCTACGCGCCGAGCAACTAAGCCGCGGCGGCATGATGGGTAATTCGACGGGTCGCAACTAAATCTGTTTCGCACCCCCTCTACCTCGACCTTGGTGTCGTCGTGGTTGTCGCCGGGTTGGTGAGCGTGCTGGTCGTTGCTCTTGCTGTGGACCAGGCCAGACTACCACTGGCCAGTCGCAAAAGCTGAGATGAGAATAAGTGGACCGTGCTTGCTTCCCCCGGCCCCGGACCAGGATGGGTCAGGTCCGGTCAGGTCGGTGGTCGGAGGTCGGAGGTTTACTTATATCTCAGTTCTCCAGTTCCAGCAAATCTGCCATTTCACCGCCCCAGTTGATAACCAAACGATAAGAACTTGGAACCTTTTAGTGCCCCAAACTACCCCTGTCCCTGCTGTCCCTGTCCCGTATTTACTTAGGTACCCCTGCCCCTGCCCCGCCATCGATTTCAGCATTGGAATGACAATAATGGCGGGGCAGCAGACTACCAGGAACAGCGACATCTTGGGGTTGGAACCTATCCTACCACCACTTGAGTCATCTGTAGGGACGGATGAGTCTGACATTCCGAAGCCTGCAGGCCAATTGACTTGTTTTCGACAGGTAAACTTATGAATTCTCTCGACTTCAATCTCACCTCCTCCCTCTTCACCTAGCTAATCGTGTCGCAATTCGGAGACAGCTTATCTAGAAACTCGATGAGTATCCTCCGCCGAACTCGGCATCTTTGACGACATGGCCGCTACGACGGGATCGCAACCCAATTCGATTGCGATGCAAGACCAGAAAGTCCTGGTCGACATCCGCCCCTTGCTCCAGCGTCTGTGGCCGGATCCCGAAAAGGAGGATGTAACCGCCCAAGAGATCGCCGAGGCCATCTCGCTGATCTTCGTCAATCAACTAAGCCCAGTTCAAGCCGGCTCGCTCCTGACGGCGCTGCACTTCACGAGCTGGGACCGTCGTGCTGATGTCTTGGCTGAAGCCTCGGCCGCTATGCGCCGCCATGCCGCCAAGATTGACTTCCAGGGCTTGGAGAATGCCATATCAGGCAAACGGCGGCCAGAAGGAAAATATTCAGGCGGATTGGTGAGTTTCGCTCAGAATTGTTCCACCGAAGTTTGGCCTAGGAACTCGGAAACGTTATGCTAATTTATTCCGTAGTGCGACATCGTTGGCACAGGAGGCGACGCTCACCATACTTTCAACATCTCTACAACATCCTCCATTCTCGCCTCGTCTCTGCTTCTCCTCGCTAAGCATGGCAATCGCGCGTCAACCTCAAAGTCTGGCTCTGCCGACTTGCTCATGAACATGCAACCAAAGCCCGCCCAGCTCGCCCGTATCACGCCCGACACCATCTCCGCCGTTTACCAGTCCACCAACTATGCATTCCTATTTGCCCCTGTCTTCCATCCGGGTATGAGGCATGTAGCTTCCATCCGTAAAGAGCTCGGATGGCGCACCATCTTCAATCTCCTGGGCCCTTTGAGTAACCCCCTCGACGACGCCATCGAAGCCCGTATGTTGGGTGTTGCGCGTGACGACCTAGGCCCCGTCTTTGCTGAGGCCTTGCGGTTGGCTGGCGCGAAGAAGGGGCTAATTGTCTGCGGCCGAGAGCAACTTGACGAAATTTCGTGCGCTGGACCTACGCTTTGCTGGCAGCTAGTTGAGGGTGGTAACGGCGTGGAGGTCGAGCATTTCTTGATAGAGCCTAAGGACTTTGGGCTCAGTGCACATCCGCTCAGCACTGTTTCGCCTGGCAAAGAACCTCATGAAAATGCAGAAATTCTGCGTAAAATCCTACAGAACGAACTACCAGACGACGATCCCATCCTCGAGTTCGTGCTTATGAACGCGGCGGCTCTATTTGTTGTCTCGGGTATCTGCGAGGCTGACGCGAGTGCCATGGGCCCTGGTGATGATAGCGAAGTTATCACGGAGAGAGGACCCGGTAACGGACGCTGGAAGGAGGGGGTCAGGAGAGCAAGGTGGACAATTAAAAGTGGTGAAGCATGGAAACAATGGAGTGCTTTCGCCGAAGTTACGAATACCTTGCCCATACAATCTTAGGAAATTTAAAATACAGGAAAATGGAGACGGTGTTAATGAGCTGTTGGTGGGATTTAGGAACGGACTTTTGGCATGCGAAAATGTGAATAGCTACATCTGTAAGCTGCCTAGGTAACCAGGAGTCAGGTACCTACTAGGTATTTGACTTTCTTTACTATATACCCATCAGCGTATGTCGCATTAGGTTAGGCTTTGGAATGATATTAGATAGTTTGCTAGAAGTGAGAATATTGATGCGTCTCCTTCACTTTACATAGGCTGTTCGTTCTAATGTGTTCTTTTACTTGTCTCCATCATATCTTCCCAGCTGCTCATTATACTTCAGGAGTAATCCACCATACGCCGAGGAGGGGTTCATAACGTTCTAAGGCTCGTGAGAATGCCTACTTATGCACCCCTCTTAGAATATGGAATAAACGAAAAGAATGGGTTTTAAGTACCGAGATAAAACGATGTGGGGAGGTCTAACTGAGATACTTTAGAAAAGGAAAGAAAAAAAAAAGTATGATTGCGATAGAGGCAGGCAAGCAAAAGAGAATCGACATCTCTCGATCGGGGAATCGAACCCCGGCCACCTGCGGCTTGTTCCATAGTGAAGGCAAATTCACAGGGTGAATCGAATTCATGGAATGACAAGCAGGTATCCTGACCACTAGACCAATCGAGATTTTGTTGTTGTTTTATTGGGTAACTCGTGTGTGGTCGAGCGAGCTTTGTAATGAGGGCTATGCCGGTCGTGATTTAGTTTGGTGGAGTTGTGAGGAATGTTGCCCTACAGTACATTACCTACTATTTAGGATATTGACTAACTAACTAGGTATTAAGTAACTAGGTACATAGCACTAAGCCTAGGTAGACCGAGGCTCTTAGGATACAGATATTTGAAGTTTTTCTTATGTTTCGTTTTATTTTTCATGAATAAATAAACGTACCTACCCTTTTGTTGAGAGGACTAGCAACCGCGGGGGGAGGGAGGCGGAAGCGGACGATGATCTAACGAGAATGTAAAATTATATTCAAAATACTATATGGGTCCTTACTAGCTCACGCGTGCAGGTAAGAACATGTTCAATTCGAAACTGAGGTGATGAATAGGAAAAATCCGGGCTTAGCTTCGGAACTACGAACAACTAGTAATCCGATACCGAGAAATGGGAGTCGACTTCATCACAGTGTTAAACCACAGTGGAGGGTTTCTATGTTCCTAAGGTGAAAGGTAGTAAGTGATGTGTCGCTCGGGTACTTTAGAATATCCATCTAGAGAATTTTTATTACAATATTCACATGATGACCTCCTAGCTTGGGGTATAACAGCACGAGTACGGTTAATGTTGAGGTGAGATCCAGGCAAGTATTGTGTGCAGCTGATGCCTATCCACACACAATACAGACGATAATAGCCCACCAGGATCCCCAAAATACGTTCCGCTTAATGAGCGCCTCTTCCCCTGAAACGCCAGTAAACCTTTCGCCCTGGCCGATCATCACCCTATCTAGATAGTACGCCACGAACAGTTCCCTTTAATGTCGGCTTTCCTTCAAATACCTGCTCACCGATGCCGGTATTACCTCCGGCTCCTACATCAAGCCATCGAGCCAGTAAGTCGTTACTTTCCTTGGGCTTGACCAAATCATCGCGCGTACCCACTGTGATGTGTGCTACTTTGTTGACACAAGTCCACTTGTCCTCTTGATCTAGTAGCCGCACCACAATAGCCATTATGCGGTCGTCGAACACGACACGCTCGAGCATGACCTCGCACTCCCCGACCTTGTTATCCACGGACTGGCTCTCAGCTTCGAGGGCAGTGTAACGCTGCCATAGTTCAGGGTATTCTTTAGAGCTGGCCTTGTGCATGAGTGTAACATGGAAAAGAGGCTGGATGCGCCGCGTCTGCTGAAGCTGCTTATAAAATCGCTGCATTTGTGGATCGACGCTCTTAAAGGCTGATTCGAGTGCCACGTTGACCTCTTTGGCGGGAACTGAGATGGACATATATTCGAGAGGCTTCTTCTTTTTGGGTTCATGTGATTGCTGAGTCTCTTGACGCTTTTGGTCTCTTTTACTTGTGCGGTCAGGTATCTGATGTTTCATGCTCGGCGTATAGTCCTCAATGGCATGCTTGACAGCCGCGTCCATGTCCTCCGCACTTGGCATGTCCGGAATCAGCAACGGATATTTCCTGTGAAGCTCAGTAACTGCTTTCTCAACGTTCACACGACTTTCCTGAGCAGGGTCGAGGTTGATAATGAGGTCGAAGCCATCGTCGGGGCTGCTTTCCGGGTCGCAAGGCTGGAATCTATGTATGAAGTTCTCCATGATACCAATAACCTTATTCTCATCCGAAGCCGCCTGGATAGTTTGATGATTATCGCCACGTTTCAATACTCGCTCTCTTGTAACTCTTCTAACTTCATCAACGTTGCCATGAGCGAAATTCAGAGCTACGAGTCGGGCATTCTTGTGCTGCATGAGGACGTCTTTGATGATTTGCTCTCGCTCTCGACGTTCAGAGTTATTCCGGTCAGCGATAACGACGGGATGCACCATCAAAGAAGACATAACAGCCTGAACCATTCTTGCGGGACGACCCCTGCCCTGGATATTGTCGTTCTGAATGATACCCCAGCCAAATAAACGGGTCAGAGCTACACCAACGGTAGTTTTACCGCATCCAATCGTAGCGATTGGTACGAGAACAACGTCGTCCGACACGCTGGAGGTATCATTTCCAAATACGTTCTCAAAATTTGCAGCGTCGGAACCTTTCAGGTTTTTATACGCGAGGAAGTCGTCCCGGAGAGAGATGATGCCATGATTCTGGTTGTAAAGCTTGGCCAATTTGGGGTCCTTGGCCAATCTTTGACGAGCATACAGTAAGTACTCCTCGGTGATCTTGGTATGCTTCTTGAACTTGGGGGGCTTCCCAGCAATAAGGGCTTTGGTGCATTCTCGCCATTGTCGGTACATCAAGTACGGCTCTTCAAACTTGTATTTGAAGAACCAGTCAATGTATTTCGTATGTTCCACATCGGATGACAGTCCACAACGGATGACAAACCCTTCAACGTCTCGACCCTCGTGTGCACCAGACTCGGCAACCTCCTCCAGGAAATTCTTGACTGTGTCGATATCATCAAAGACTTGTAGTCCGACTTTTCGAAAACCCCACTCATCTGCGAATTGTTGCACAAGACCGCTCGGATATGTCATGAATTCTGGGACGTTGACGTTGATACCGTGAAGATACAGGCCGGCCTTGTCCGGACCGTAAGCTAGAATGTGCTCCTCAAAGCCATCGTCGCATAGTTCGGCAACCGCTGTGACGTTTCTACCCCGTAACTCCTGAGCAAACTGTTCTCTGGTTCTGCCAATGGTGGCCAACTGCTTGTCTACCCATCTCTCGCCAGCACTGGCATGGCTCACCTCAACATCACTTCGGTCTCCGGTCGAATGCTTGCTGCAAACGAGCAGGGTTCCATCTTCCAAGCCGCTAATAAAGATGATGCAGCCGTTCTCTTTCAGAGTGAGCTCGTAGGGACCTCGCGTCCTGCGCCTGATGTTCTCCCACCTCGTATCGAAAACCTCATCGACGTTGAAAAATTTATCATAGCCTCTCACGGCGATCTCATGATCATTACGGCGATTCTTGGTGGTGAAAAGGCCGCGCGCATAGGTAGGTAGGTTGGGTTTCTTGTAATCCCAGTCTTGAAAGCGCCACGAGTCGACACTGAGGCCGTCGGGCGACCCGGGGATCTTAAAAATCGTCTTCTTGACCTTGAATCCACTCTTTGCCTTGTTGGTCCCGTCGTTCAGAGCGCGAACGAGTTGGGAGTTCTGCTGAGGGTCCTGCTCACAGTAAGGAGCCTTGGAAAGATCCATGACGAGCTGGTGGTTGGGGTACGAATAACCGGAAAAACCAATGGTTTCAGGTAGTAGGAACCTGGATTGCGAGGACAGGCAAGCGTGATGAACTCTCGACGCTCCAATGGTGAGCCTACCAATTCTGGATGTGACAGATGTAGAACGAAGAAGCAAGCTGGAGTGAAGTAGCAAGTCAGCCGGCCAGTTGTCCTCGCTGCTTATTCATTTATTATATGAAGGTGAGGGAAACGGTAGGACAGATCAGATGGGCTATAAAGAGGGTTTATGTATCTGAAGCCGTTTGGTAGTGCAAGACACGTAGTACACGACGTAGACTGCAGGTGTGAGAGCTGGAACAGAAATAGAAATGAGTACAACCTCTTGTTCAGGGAGGCGACAGCTGCCCGCATGAGTCACTCGCACAGTGGCCTGGCCACTTCAGTTGCTGGGACTATTCATGTACCTAGGCAGTGGCTACCTGTTGTTCAGGGCGTAGCAGATACTAAGGCTGGTAGGGCTGGAATGCTGAGATAGGTAGGTACTGCCTTGGGATGGGTCAACCTAGAATTATTTCGCCATTACGAGATATCACAGACAGGAGCCTTTTTGGCTAACTAAGACATGGATGCCTTAGGTACTGGGGAAATGACATTGGGTTGCTAGCCGCTTTTGGCGCGGGCACTCTACCTCCATACCTGGGCAGTCTACCTGTCCTACATATGTAGGTAAGGAGGTAACAGTTTTTAGGACTGCACTGTTATCGCTGTAATTCTCCGCTAACCCCACCAGCAAACAAGTCAAAATGCCTGGGTACTTACCTATACTACATAGTAGGACCCTTCGGCGCGGGTTTGGCGGGGTAGGTACATAGTAGGTATATTGACCATGCGTCACACCGTGAGCCCCTCCAAGAAAAAAGGTCAGCTATCTCACTATACCTTAGTCCGTCCCTTTCGTTGAACCTAACAGCGTCGTCTTATTGGGAAGCGTCTTGGCCTTCGCGTCAACAACTCGTTTGTTCTAGACAGAAATTTATTTGGGGTCATCAGTATTCCCCAGAGCCATGCCTCCAAATCCATTCCTTCTCGCTGCTGACAACAGTCCGGCTCTTCTGCCCCTCCTTCGCGAAAATCCAGCTCTGGCCAGCCAGCAAGATGAGCACGGCTACTCTTTAATCCACGCCGCCGCCAGCTATAACCACTTGGACCTTCTACGCGCCCTTGTCCAAGAGTTCAAGGTTGATGTTAACCTGCGCGATGAAGATGAGGAGACCGCCTTATTTGTTGTTGAGACAGTCGATGCCGCCAAAGTCCTTATCGAAGAACTCGGCGCCGAAGTCATGATTAAAGGATCTGACGGCTACACTGCTTGCCAAAAGATCACCGAGGAGGACGACTTTCCAGACGTTGCCGAGTACCTCAAGCTTAAAGAAGCAGAGCGAGCCCGAGATCTATTGATGAATGGGGCTAATGGTGAACCTGTACAAGATGGTAGTGACATGCCATCCTTACCTGAAGGACTCAACTTTTCTGTCAGCGTCGTCAACCCAGCCGAAAACGACGAGAGCGAAATCGACCCCGAGTTCAGGAGGAGGATAGAGGAGTTGGCCCAGCGTGAAGATTTTCATAGCGAGGAGGGTCAGACTGCGCTCAGAGAGCTTGTCCAAGACGCAATTGCCGATGGGAACCTCGCCGACCGCAATGTCCGACCCCGTCAAGACTGAGCACGGCAAGATCCACATTTTCCGGTTACGATCACAGTTCAACACACATGCTCATTCGTGCCCATTGATCTCCCAGAGA